GCATTGCCCGCTGCATCAAGAGGATAGGATTGCTTGCAGCCCCTGCAAAGGAGCCAGCCTCCTCGCAAGCGCTTCGCCTTTGGATGCAGCTCCTGCTGACAGTCGGCGCATGCTGCGCAGCCAGGTGGCAGGGTGCACATTGTCGCATCGAATGCGTCCGAAGGCTTGGTCTTCCCACACATAGCGCATGTCAGAGTGCGCTGATTGCGCGCACACTGCGTGCACACCTTCTTGACATTTGGTCCTTCTTGGCGCAGCTGCGCCACCGGGAATGCCGCCGCCATTTTGCTGCAACCACAGATGTCGCAAGCGTGCTTGGTGAAGATCTCGGCGTCCCTGCTGATTTTGCGCTTGCCGGTGGTTTTGCCGCCCTTCTCGCAGTGGAGGCACTTGGCCGCCCGGTTGGCTCGCACTTTGCCCCACTCGGCGTAGGAGAAGTTCGCGAAGTCTTTCACGTGGCCACAACTTCCGCAGGCGGCGAAGGGGTTCTTGCTTTCGCGCCAGGCCTTCCAATCCACGGGCTCTTTGCGGAGAGTCTTCAGCAGCAGATCGGGGCCTTCGGGCGCTCCGCGCTGGAACAGCCAGAGCGGGAAGGGACGCAGAATGAGCACGTCCTCGCGGCTGCGGACACGGCTCGCCGCCACGGTGCCCAGGGTCTGGTGGACGTTCTTGTCCACGTTCAGGTCGAGCAGTGTGGCATCCAGCGTCTTGCCCTGGCTGCTGTGCGCCGTAATCGCGAAGGCCGGGGTCAGCTGAAGCTGCTTTCCTCCGAAGGCTTCAGAACAAGTTTCCTCTACGATAGTAAGATGGTCTACCGTCCACAATCTAATCTTCCAAAGCAGCTAAGCGTCGTTTCACTTTCAGGACAGGGTTTTCGCGCCCCCGGTCGAGAAACCATGCTTCCGTTACGGGCCGCAGGGGATAGATGCCGGGCTCGGGCGTGCCGGGGAGCTGCCACGTCACATCCGGGAATTTGACGTACACCACCTCCGGCTGCTGCTCGTTTTCGGGCCACACCCAGGAATGCACGTGCCCGCAGCGCCCGCGAAGCAGGAACTTGTCGGACCGGTCCACGTGGTCGGTGAGGGCGACCGGCATGCCGATGGCGAGGGGGAGCAGGCCGCACAGATCTCCCGTGTGTCGGTCGTGGTACTGCAGCCACTTCCTTTTGGCCTCCTTGCTGCAGTCCTCGGCTTGAAGAGCTTTGGCCTCCGCCACGTCCTTGGCAACTGACCACCTGAGAGGAGCGCCGGACTCCTTGCTGTAGGCTCTGGCCTTGTCTTTGTTGATCTGGTAGCGAGCATCGTTGTTGGCCACGATGACCACCGCCTTCCGGAACCTGGCCTCCTGCAGCCGCGGATCCGCATCGGAGACGATGACCCTGCGGCGCGACTGCCTCTCCGCTTCCGACAGGGTGCAGCCTTCCACGGGAATGCCGTGCAAGTACTTGTGGTTCTCTTCCGACAGGCGGCCTTGTCGAAGCTGCTCCACCACTTCGTTCCACCACTCGTCGGAGCACCGTCGAGTCTCCGTCAGCTCGGTGACGCCTTGGACCGCTCCGCGCCAGAAAAGGTCGCGACCGGCCTCGACGAGAGGGTCCGGACTCTTGTCGACCCCGGTGGCAGACTTCAGGCTGTGGGGAACATCCGCAATGAAGCCGCCCTCCGGCGGTGGGAGCTGGAAGAAGTCGCCCATGAAGATCATGTTGATGCCCCCGAAAGGTCTTGCATGCCCACGACCGTCCAGCTTGAACTCGTCCTT